TTTGGTTAGTTTTCTACAATAATCTACCATTTCTCAATCCCGAGTCGATAAAGAGCAAAGCTGGATTTTCTCATTCTTTAAGCCAGGCACCGGTACAGGATGAGTTGATTTGGACGTCATCGAGATGGATCGTCATCGGTGCTGCACTCCGGTTAGCAGTGCACACCTATCGGAAGCAATGCTTTCAAAATCTAGTCGTTACCTGAATCATGCGTTTTCCACCCTCTAGGAAGATATGAACCATTCAAGATATTTAATTCACTAGTATTTAGACATACACTATGCATTCCATACACAAGTCATACACCACTGTTTCGATTTAAGAAACTACCTATCGGAACAAGAAGAGGCCTACAAACCGCACACACCCACACCTTTCCGGCTGTGGCAGTGATCACCGGCTCCACTGGGCATCCAGGTGCATTGGACACCGATGTTTGACCCCGTCCAAAGGGCAAATAATCTGAAGAGCTGAACACCGACCTCGAATGGAATATGTTACATCGCCTCATTGCCTCGCGGTTCAGACTTTGGCTTGCCAACGGCACCTCCCACAAGCCAATCATAGAGATTTCATGAAGATTACTATTGTACCGTGATTTGTTTAACAGTGTGAACTCAGACGAGTGTAAATATATATTGGAATAATTTTGTACCGTCTTTCCAACCCTTTATAGCATGCACTATTTTCTAGTTCGCGACGTTGGAACGGATTAGGATACAGTGATTCATTCGATCGTGACTCTTCTGGGAACGCATCCGGACGAAGATCTTCCCTATTCAAACTGAACAGATCCTCATTCCCGTTACCTAGAGATCCGAGTCCCACTGAAACAACTCCCCCCTCGCTCCATGTTCCCGGTGATGGAGCTGGTGACCATGTCCCATCCANTCCAAATTGGTCAGCTACCCTCTCCAGGAGAACCCGTCCAATCGCTCGTCACCGATCGTGGGCAGCCTCCGGATCAATCGGATCGTTAATGATGTGAGTTGGCTCCGGCTACGGACGTGTGCCTTTCACGATCTGTTGCTTTTTCTCTTGCTGTGGGATACACATTCATCCTCACCGCTAGGCCTCTACTTGAATTGTACTTAAATATTGTATACGTGTTTTCGTGATGAATAGCTTCATACAACTGTCTTGTAAGCGTTCAATTTTGAGTCTCGTTTTCTCTTCCTCCATCTACATAGATGTTTACAACCTGTTGTTTGTAAATTCTCTTATTTCACTGGAAATAATTTACAACGACACTTTGTAAGGAGGAAGTTATGTGGAGAAACATTCAGATGAGAAGAGAGAAAAGTTCTGACTAATGAGAACTACGGAAATGGGGAAGGTTTACCACAACTTCGCCATTCTGCAAAAAAGAAGATAAAAATTCAGAATGTGGGGAATGAAACCTATTACTGTTGGTTGGTTGCCTGAGTTCGTGATAGTTGGGGACAAAATAAGGGAGAAGCACTGAAGCGAGCTCAGAATAACCGAAACTGAACGGTGGAAAGTAACTGCCCGCGGATAGCAATGCAACGGATCTAATTCCCAGGTTCGATAATTCACTCGTCCAACAGAATACAAGCGATTCACATGACTACAGGACTCTTATTGAAGATGGCTGATATTATAATCGCACTGATTGTCTCGATACCAAATTTTCTAAAGATGGTCCCACAATAAAGTTTATCTTCCTGATAACGCTTCCACAGGTAGTGAAATAGCACCGTCGGAGGCGCCTAGGGATTGATCTACGCCATTATTGGTTCACTGGATCATTAAAAGCCGTCTTGATTGTCTTTGGATTCTGACCTATTACCTGAAAGGAATTACTCTTGATCTGATTGGTCGTCTCCAAAGAATGCAGTGTGATGTATGTAGTAACATTCAGATTCAGCAAAGGTACCATACTTATTCTCCTTGATGTATATTATTCCCGCACACAAGCTGCTTCTTCCTGTGACCAAGACCACTCTGAACATCTACGTTTCTCATCCGTCGCTGTCGTGCCCATATGGTGTGCTTGTGCGGTATATAGGGAACCATTTGCGCATATGCGCTCATTTTTCAGTAGGGATGAAATTGTCCAACCTACCCTTGCTACCGATGCGTGGCCCAACCCCGATCGATGCCCGTTACTGCCTTCCCGGTTCGGGCGTGTCTAATTGATTATGACCGTACATTTTCGTCTCCTAGTTTTACACTTAAGAGCATAACCCAGAGCCGGTCGGCGTAGTGTCTACTCTTATTCCCAATAATTTCACCGTTATCCCTGTCGTCTCGTTTTAAAAAGGCTAACCGATAAGGTTTCCATCGTACTCAGTTCGGATATCGCTCTGCGTTTTTGGTTTTGTATATACATGTATATATA